CGCACCGCGCCAAACAACTTACCTGACCTCGCAAACTCGCTGCCAGAAAGAATTGGCGCCCTGCGAGATGGCGAGCGCGCGGGAGAAGGCCCAGCCCAACACTCACTACGAGGTTATTTCTGCGGCCAGCGAAACGGACGCATGCAACGCTCCCACACGCAGAACTCGCTGCAAAACATGAGTGGCGCCCAGCGAAGCGGCCGGCGCGCAGCAACCTAATCCCCGCACTCGCAGCGAACGTAGACTTGCCCCGCGCCAACCGCACGCTCCGCACCAGCTAGGCCGCATTCGCTGCGAGCTTCCTTTGGTGGCCCGCGAAAGCCCTTTTCCAGTTAATTTTCACTCCAAAACTCGTAGCGAACAAGATTTCGAGACCTGCGAGCTGCAGAATCATTAAATGTGTGTGCGAGTAGTGTGTGTCTTGGAGATGCACTATATATATATTTTTTTGTTGTCCTTTGTATTTGGACATCTAGCCTCATTATAACATTTTTCTTTTTATGAATCTTAGCTTAAGTTTTATTTTTTCTTTTTTGCTTATGGAGCTTATGTTATTTTCCAGTGGTTTTTCCGGCGACTTTACTTTTATTCAAGTTCGTGTCTTTTTACTTCGATTTCGATCAAACACGCGCAAGGGATGTGAGTACTTACTTTTAAGACTTATAATCTTGATTTTCGCACTTATTTGCTCTCTCGCTCGTAGAAGTGATTAGGGCTTGCTCGATTTTGGGACTTGATTGCTTTTGTTGCTTGCTGAGTGTTTGTAGGGATTAATTGCTTGCCTATCTCGATTAAAGGTTAAGAGACTCGATTAGAGCTTAATGACTTAAGGTTAGGGTTAATTACCTAGTGCTCATAGCTTGCATATTTCTCTCCGTTATTTATTTTTCTTTTCTTTTCGTCGATGGCATGAAGACTCTGGTAGTTTAATTTCGCTATTTGCTCGTTATTTATTATTGCTCGTAATTATCTAATCACTTTGTGTTAATTCAACTCCGAACCAAGTGATTAGAATGTTTAGGATTTATTTTCTCTTTTTGTGATTTGGACAATTAAATAGTGAACCAAGCTCTGAATAGACTTCCTTTGAGAACGACCCGAGTCGGGTAGCTCGGTTACCTCTTGCCCACAAAAATCTACAAAACAATGACATGCAGGACGCGGCAGCAAGCGGCGGCAATAAGTTTTCGGCAACCTTTCTTGAGACCAAGCCTTTAATGGCCAGAGGACAACTTTAGGACGTCTATTTCCACTAGATAACGTGAATAGTTGAAATTCTGGATTTCGTGGAAGCTTATAGTTTCACCTGGACATAGACTGTTTTATTCCATATCGGTCTAGGATAACCATTGGCCATAATAACTGAATATATATCCTATTTTATTTCCTCTAGTTATGCATGTGCTTAAATAAATGATCTGTTGTATTATGTGTAAGAATAATTAATTATTTAAGTACATATTAATGTGTATGGTAATTAATTTATCGTTATTGATGTGCAAGAATAATTATATATATATATATATATATATAACTT